CATCATTTTTAGTAAAGAACAAAAAAAACATATATATTTTAATTTTTTTTACACACACACACACACATGTACACACAAACACATACATACTCATCAACTCTTGAACTGAATCTGGATTTATAAACTTCAAAGGATTTTTTTGAAGCAGTCCTAACTTCTAATGTTGAGTCTATGACACCTAAATGAATAATCCATTCTAGATCAACAATATGATTTTCTAGACCTGTAATGTCCTCCTCTAAAATTGTCAATGTCAATTTTGCTACATTTGTTTTCAATAATTTACTTTGGCTTTGCATTGCTTCTCTAAATTTTGGTATGAGGCTTGATAATTTGGATACTTTAATTATTGTTTCCGAACATTTATATGCTCTTGTACCAAACAATTTGTTTGTACGATTACAAAGTTTGAGAATGTTGGGTACAAATAACTTGGCCAATGAATCAAAATTTGGACCAAGTGATTTAGAAATTTCTTCAACCAATTCAGTTGCTGTTCCTGACAATTTAGTTCTTTCTGTAAGAATCTTATTTTTAAAAATAAATAAATGAATTCATCAATTAATCATTCATTCAATCAATCAGTTAAAAATAATTTATTCACATACCGAATTTTGAATTGGTTGTTTTAAAGACTTGATCCCAGAAATATATTCTGTTTCATAATGAGAAACTCATTCACGAGTTTTTTCAATTAGTCGTATCAATGCTCTCTCAAAATTTCTCCAATTAGTTTCAGATTCTTTTTCTTGAAATAATTCCAAAATGTTTTTTACTTCAAGTTCAAATTGTAAGGCCTTATTATTATTCTTTTTCATGTAAAAAAAAATATAAATATAAATACTTTACAAAAAACAAGACAATCATATAATCATATATAATATATATTGAAATAAACAAATATATTAGTCTTTGATTATTACTTTTATATCTTCTGCCAAAATATCTGTCATTTTTGATGTTTGTTTAAAATTTAAAATATTAATGTTAATATTATTTATTAATTAATATAAACAAAAGCTATTACTGGCCAATCAATTATGTTTAACCACGTGAGTATTTTTTGATCAAAAATCGACCGTGTGTATAAGATGTAAAGTTCTACTACAATGAATCCACCACCTTATAAAGTAAATGTGATTAGTAAAAAAAATAATGCGTTTGTTTGGGATCCTGAAGGTAACAATTAATTATTTCGAGTTTAATATATTGTTATCATATAATTAAGTTTATTTACAACATATTTTAAAAAGTTGTCCAAATTCTTTGAAAAAATTATAGAATATTAGGATTTTTAGTTGGAAGTTTACCAAGATTGCCTTTACAAAATCAATTCCTAGGTTTACCCTTGAGATTGATGCCTGAAGAGACGACTTTATTATTATCTAAAGGTTTTTTTAAATAAAATTTAAATCAACCAACCATATAAATGTGTATATTGATTTTTTTGTTTTTAATTATAGGAATAATTGTTTTAATAGATGAAACAAAAAGTTATTGTAAGCCTACACCTGAACAAATTGAAGAATTTGAAAATGATAAATTAAAAAATGAAGATCAACAATTACAAAATTATATAAAAAATATTGAAGAGAAAAGAAATAAAATTAAAAATATTATTGATGATAATAATAATGATGATAATGATAATGATAATGATGATGATGATAATGATGATGACAATAATAACAGCAATAATAAGAGTAATGATGATAATAAAAGTAATAAGGGTGATATTGATGATGATGATGAGGTGGAGATGGAGGTGGAGAAAAAAAATTCAAAAATTAAAGGATTTTATCCAAAAATTAATATTAAAACATCTTCTAAATCATTAAAATGGTATAATGATGATAATAATAAATTTAAAACCTTGGAGTTGGCTAAACAGTCAAAAGTATGGACATGGCCAGAAACACCACAAGAAGAATATAAATATAAAATTTATTGTGATCTGTGGAATAAAGGATATTTTATTTCTAGTGGATTAAAATTTGGCGGTGATTATTTATTATATCCTGGTAAGTAAATTATATAATAATATAATAAAATTAATAGTATCATTATTCATTATTTTTATTTTATTAGGTGACCCATTTAGATTTCACAGTCATTTTATAGCATTAGTGATGGAGACAAATAAATCAATAACACCATTGGATATTATAACATTTGGTAGATTGGCAACTAATGTAAAAAAATCATTTATGGTTTGTGGTTGGGATGAAAAGGAACAAAAATCAATTTATCATTGTATAGAATGGTCAGGATTTGGTTAATATTAATATACGGGACAATCTCCACTTGCAGTTATCAATAATAAAATATTTATTTCATTGATTAAATTTGAAATGAGTCATACATAGTTTTTATTCTTTGTAATATAAAATTATCAAAAAAAAAAAATATAAAAAATGGGACTTTATTGCTAATATTGTGAGTAGCAACAAAAGCAATAATGATATTTCAGAAATTTCAATTAAATTGTGTTGAATTATTTGAACATTGGCAAAAACAGAAAATTGACAATCCTGCAAAAACAAAACTATTTCACTAGTTGTTAATTATTTTACAGGTCTTTGAATTAGGTTCAACTTTAACACATCATTGGGCTATTCAAGCATGTAGTGCTGTAACTGGTGAAAATATTTTCTGGAATGTTGAAGATAATAGCATCACATAATACTCACAGATTCCACTGACAGAATTTCATACATTGATGGTTAGGATGTTAGATATAAGTATAATCATAAACAGGGAAATCAAATAATAAAATCGATTAGTAAGGATTTTAATGTTTCTCTATAACGGCCCGCCTGATTTGGCAAAAAAAGGCCGTTATAGGATAGTTTGCAGATCATAGTCATGTGATAAATTATAACAGATTTTTATTTTATACTAGGTGTAACATGTCAGCTTCGCTGACATGTTACATCTAGAGCACACTATAAATAATCTTGTAAATTTTTTTTTTATTCAAAATTATTTAATACTGTAAATTCATAGCATTAATAAGTTATAGTTGCGTTTATTATAAATATGTATAGATTTAAAAAAATAACAGTTTTGATTGACATAATTTTGTTAAATTTGATTTCATGACTACAAAATGTCACATCAAAAGTTAGAGAATAATCAAAAACTAATGAAAAATATAATATTTTATTATTGTATCACAATTAAAAATCATTTACATGCATCACAACATATTTATTTACGTGCTTGTGGTAGTCTAAACATAAACTAACGATACAATAATAGATAGATTGCATGTGGCGGTCTAAAACGTTACGCATCACAGCGTATTTATTTGCGTGCTTGTGGTAGTCTAAACGTAACCCAACGATACAATAACGGATAGATTGTGGCACACGTTTGTGTTATTGAACAATTCAAATAACATTATTTATGCGTGGCAGCCTAAACGTTACGTTTATTTATGCGTGGGCACCATTCTAAACGTTATGCTCACGTGAACCTAACGTTTTTAATATAATAGATTACAACTGTAATAATTATGCAAAAATTATACATGTAAAATTACGTCCTTGTAATATTGCATAAATTTTACAACAGTAAAAATCGCCACCCAAAATGAAGAACCAAAAAAAATTTTTTTATTATTTAACACTTGAGTTTTACTAAAGAATCATTCCCAAAAAAATATTTTACTCATAGGTGGTCAGTGTTTAACAACTGAGAATTAATGGTTAGCATTGATATATTGATGTAATATAGATGTCAGGAATTTTTTAGGGAAATTTTTGCTATTATTAAATGTAAAATTTATGCAAAATTACAGGGACATAAACTTATGCCAGATGAAGATTTTGTCAAAGCTGCTAATGAATATTTCAAAGAATAAAGAAAAATTTGATGGTAAATCTATTTGATTATGAATAGCCCATATAACTTTGTTAGGTTTTTATTGCCATGATTCATGTTGATAAAATTAAAGGAAAAAAATAAACCAATATTGTAATAATAAGATTATTTTCCTTCTAAGGATTTTTGCTTTTTGTTGGATAATAACACATTTTCATTCTGCTTTCTTTTCTTAATGCTTATTATTTTTCTTTTTTGGTAAATTTCATAGGTAATCCTTTCTTTGTCTAAATATGTTTGCAAAGATTTGGTACCTGCTAATTTAAAAATGTAAGGAGCAATTTTTTCACCTTGTTCTTTTTTCAGAATACTTCTAATGGTGCTGTAATTCTTTGGTTCCATAGTAGATCTGATATAAATGAGCTTCATATTGACTATTTTTATATAGGGGCAATTCTATATATCACTTAAGATAGCAAATGGGATATTATAAAACTGTTAATTATATAATCACATTACAAATGACTAAATTTTGAACCCTGTAATTCTTGGTAATACCAATGTTCACTTTGTCTGGTTTTGTTGCAGCATGCCCCATTTAACCAATAAGAATCTAAATTACAAATCACTTTTTATTAATTTTTATCATGTGATATTTTGAAAAACTGCATTTGAATACTTTCTTCCAGGTACTGTATATAAACTAAAAGGAAATATTCCAATGTAAATAAATTATATTTTTTTATGATTAGTAAATAAACAAAGTTAGGTGAATATTCAAAACTAATTATTGTTTTTTAAATTGATCATTATTTTACCCAATAAAAAATCCTCTCATATACAGTCAGGCCTCCATAAATGCACCCCCTCCATAAATGCACATTGTCCCTTGGTCCCAAAGAGGGGTGCATTTATGGAGGTCTGATTGTAATTCCTTATATGGGGTATGCTGCAACAAAACCAGACAAAGTGAACATTTAAAATTTTAATGTGAAATCATTTTATTAGAATAAAAAGCATTTGAATTATTTGAAAATTAAAATTTTTTTTTACAATATTAAGCTTTGTAAACAAAGATATACCAATACTACTACTTTCATCACATATGATAGTGATAATATATGTGTATATATACTAAGGAAAGGTTACCATTAAATATCATTAAATTATATAAATTATTTAAGTAACCTTTTGATTTGTGGTGAATCTGGGATAATGCTCATGAATGACATTTGTAATGGTGGAGTGAACACATTACTGCGAGTTTTAAAATCTTTTGCTAATATGTTTATCTGTCCCTGTGAATAAACAATTTGTCATAAATTTTGAATATTATCCAAATGCAGATTAAAATAATTATGTATACCTCTAATGCCACAAAGTGGCAAAATGTCGATTCTATCAATGGCATTGAAGATTTATCAATTACTAATTTTGTTGTACAGAAAGGCCAAGAACGATAAATCCTATCAACCTGTAGATCCATGATAAAAGATGATACTGTATCACCTGGACATAATATTTTAAAAATAAATTAGCATCAGAATAATAATGTAATGGCAGACAGTTTATTATATACATACCCATATTTGTAAGTATGGCTGTTTTAGCAGGACCACCTTTCAAGTTTAATAGTTGATTTATTGCCTTTTTACCTCTTAATTGAGCCTTTACAATATCCTTTTTTTTTTGTAGTGGTTTATATCCACATGGTTTAATTTCGGAGTTCAAAAGTGGAATTTTATTAATGATGCAGGCGAAATCAGGTCTTTGTTTTGTTTTACTAACAGTGCGATTTAGTTGAACCTCATACTCTTTATGTGGTCCAAAAAACACTGGATTTGTAAAAGGATATAATAACTTGCAACAATGTAATTCTTCTGACATTTTATAATCAATAGGAGGAATGCTAGATCTAAAATGTGTTAAAGGCATTAAATAACATTCATCTTTTACAAATACTAATCAAAAATTCAACTTACAACTCATTAAATGTGCGTGCAGCAAGTTTATTTATCTCCGAATTATCAGGATGCATATAATAGTCTTCACCCATTACAATCTTAATTGCAGCTTCTTGAAGAGATCTAGAAACTGATGGTGGTATTACAGGATGGTGAATTTTATACGGGTTGGTTTTAGTTATTTCATTCCATTCTTGTGCAGTGAAATTTGGATATGGACATGGACTAGAAAGTACAATAATGGATGCTATTGCTCTGAAATATGATACAAAAGATAGTTTGAGTGAAAATTCAATATTGTAGTTGAGATCACCATTTTCTTACAATATTTCATAAGTGTCATGCCAGGTCAACTTATTAACTTTTGTCCTTTCAATCACTGAACGTTGGTAATCACGAAATCTTTCTGTGACATTTATATCATTGACCTTCCACTGAAATATATAAATAATAACAACATTAAAATATGGAAATACAGATATTTAATTTAATTTTTTTATATATACCACATATAGAGGTTCATTCTCTAACTGCTTCATAATATCTGAAAGATCGATATCAACTTGTTGATTATAAACTTTTTTTTCATCTTCTAATTTATCTTCTTCAGCTTCATCAAGATTTTCCTATGTCATTTAAATAATAAAATTTTTTTAATGATTCTTATAATTATTATTTGACTTTTAACCAATTTATCCTCTAAGTCACAAAAAGAATTTAACTTACTTTATTAGTATCAGCATCAATGACAGTGGAATTTGTTGACGATGATGACAATTCTATTGTGCTTAAAGCCACACCTTTTCTTCTCAATTCTCTTTTTTTTTCCGGAAATGATATTCATTACTTTGTAAAAATTTTGTTGTTGACTTAAGATAAAAATAAAAATATTTACCCAACAGTATCCTCTCGGTAATCGCCGCCTGATTTTTCACATCCATCTTGCGGACTATAATTTGTTTTTATCAAAGGAAAATTTTTTTTTAAAAGGATCAATTGATGTTAAGAGAAAAACTAGAGTGACGATGAGTGGCGGGCGATAACCACCACCACCACAATCCTTAAAACACTTACGCATTTGCTTGTCCTTTGACATTTTGATTTTTTCTTCGTTTATTTTCTTTGGGCATTATTATTATGAAAAGAAGTTTATTTTGATCGACGTGTACACAGTGAAACTCGATTCAGCGGATTTTGATTTAGCGGATTTAAGGGTTTAACGGATAAAATTTCGGAACAAAATTTTTTTATAGTTATTT